TAGAGAGGGACTTCGCTAGAAGCGGTGGCTCTTCCATCCCAAGGACCAGCCCATAGATTTTCAATGCTCTCCTCTCCTCTGCCTTCTGCATATCCACACGTCAGGCACTGGATCCAGCTGTTCCTCCTCTTCCAAATCAGCCACCTCCAGACCTGGGGATTGTTCACTCTCCATCTGTGGGCTGAGGGATGGCCCACGCGCTCTCTCTCTCTCTCTCTCTCTCTCTCTCTCTCTCTCAGTCTCTCTCTCTCTCTCTCTCTCCCTCCCTCCCTCCCTTTGGTTTCGATGACTGATTCAAGAGCGGATCCTGCAACACTATCCTGGGACACGTACATTTGCCTTCATTCGCTAAAAAAAGAAGTTCCGGAACAGGAAGAACTCACAATGGCCCATGACTAATAAAATCTCACCTCTCTGAAATGGCGGTGCCTTCGTTCTCTTTATTCATCTCGTGCACCTTGCTCTGAGTGTTGAATTCTCGCTCTTTGATCTCGAGCAGTGCTTTCTTCCCGTCGACCTCCTTGATCGCATCTTCTTTCTCCTCCATGGCCTCCACGCACTTGGTCTCCATTTTTTTGGACATCTCCACAAGTTCTTGCGCTTCTTCCTGAAGCAAGATTTTTCTCTTCTCTATGTCTCTGTAAGGAGCAGAGGCTGACATGAGTAAAAATAAGGTGTCTGTGTTTTTTATTTGTGATATTTTTTAATTGGTTATTTGGTAAGTATATATGTCAAAGATTCTGAATTGCAGATCGGTTTCGCAAGGGGGGAAGTTGTTATTGTTAAACTATACTATCAGGGTTCAACCAGGGGAAGGACATTTTAAGTGTATGTTTGATATTTTGTTTTGTAAATATTTCTTGTTTTGTTTGTTTCCTGTATTTTTTTTTCTTTCCTTTTTTTGGAGGGGTTGGATTTGGAAATACATTAAAAAAAAATCAAAAGATAATGTCCATCTAAAATCTGCTTAGGATATTTTTGGCTTTTATTATTTCATTATTATTTCAAGAATAGAATAGAGTAGAGTAGTGTAGAGTAGTGTAGAATAGAAAATAGAATAGAATAGAACAGGAATAGAATAGAATAGAATAATAAAATAGTGTAAAGTAGCGGTGTAGAATAGAATAATAGAGTAGCGGGGAGTAGTGTAGAATAAAATAATAGAATAGAATAGTAAAGTAGAGTAAAGTAGAGTAGTATACAACAGAATAGGATTCTTTATTGGCCAAGTGTAATTAGACACACAAGGGATTTGTCTGCAGTGCAGCAGCTCTCAGTGTACATACAGACGACAGCCACATGCTACATTCTACCCAAGAGCAGCGTATACATAATACAATAATGTCAAACCCAGTCTAAACATTTAGTTGATTGTGCAACCAACAATAATAATCAAGAGTTCTAAAAGAACATACTGCATTCTGCGGCTTATTTTTTCCATATCCTTTCCGAGCTGAATAGGAATGGCTTGGAGACGGACAAGTTCATCCTGGTGATAAAATAAACATAAATATTAGCCTGCGTGAAACTAAGAATGTTTAAGAATGTTTCGTGATGAATTAACTTCAAGCTGGGTTATAGCAACAATCCAAGAATGTCCTGAAAACGCATATGTATTTTTTCCCCCTTTGAAATACGTTTTGAATCTGGAAGTTGAGTCGCAGCCATTGGTCTTCTTTCTTCTGTTTTTGGTTGGAAATGTTTCGCTGCTTAGCCAAGTAGCATCTTCAATCTGAGCAAGTGGCTTAGGGGAACCAGGCCTGTTGAACTTGCGGACCCGTGGGCCGGATATAGAAATGGACATAGAAATGTTTTCCTAATAGAAAAACATCCTCATACATCCCAATACGGCCCGTGATGCGATCGGCTTTGATACCCCTGCCATATACTTCATGTCCTGCAGGAAGGTTTTACTATTCACCTAATTTGAATAGGCTCCTTAGGGGAGTAGACAGAGGTCCGTCAGGATGTAAATCAGGGGTAGGATTCGAATTCTGTCACAACTGGTTCTGTGGGTGTGGCTAGCTGGGCATGGCTAGGTGGGCATGGCCACGTGACTGGGTAGGTGTGGTGTTTGTTTTTTTGCAGCAACACCCCCTCCCCCCATTTTTTGGGCCTTCTGGGCCTCAGGGAAGCCTCCAGGGGGGCGTTTTTGATCCTAGAAGACTTCCCTGGGGCTCAAGAAGGAAAAAAGGGAGTATAGAAGGGGCGCACATCACTCACCTGTGCTCCATTTTGGAGCCTGCTGGGCCTCCTGGAAGCCTCCTGGGAGAAGCAGTAAGTATGTGAAGGGAATCCCGTCACAGCTGATCATAGGAACAGCTGATTGTCAGGAGGGGGAAAAAAGAAATACTTTAAGGAGTGACTGGGCGGGGAAGAACACAGTACGCGATGTTGGGCGTGCGCACAATGTCACGCATGCATGATAAGGACTGACTGGGAGGGAAGGGGAGGGGTGGGGGAAAAGGGCAGGGCCAGACAGGGACACAATTTGCCAATTCTCCGAACTGCATAGAATCATAACAACTGGTTCTATAGAACCGGTCCGAACCGGTAGAATCCCACCCCTGATGTAAATGTTACAATACCTAAATCCTTTACAATGAAGATGATGATGATATCCATTCAATCCAGTCTGACTCTTGGTGATTCTATGGGTCAGGACTTTCAGTGTCTCCCAATCTTGCACTGCTTGAGTTTTTCTATGTTTCGGCTGGGGTCAGCTTTGTGGGTGTCTAGCTGTCGTGTTCTTTGGCACTCTACTTTCCTTTTACCATTAACTCTTCCAATAGTAAAAGCCCTTAGACTTATATACCGCTTCACAGTGCTTTACAGCCCTCTCTAAGCGGTTGACAGAGTCAGCCTATTGCCCCCAAAATGGGTCCTCATTTTACTGACCTCAGAAGGATGGAAGGGTGAATGTCAAGGTTCCAAGTAACATACCCATAGCAAACAAAACTCTGAGGCTGGCAATTTCCTCAAAGAATAGGTTTATTGGATATGTCATATTGGCGTAGACTGGTGAAAACCAACTCTGAATATTCCCATGGTTTTCACCTAATTAAAAGTGAAAGTCTGTCACAACCGGTCACATGGTCCAATCAGGATACTGTCCAGTTGCTAGGTGACTCCAGTCCCCTCCTTCTGAGCACCTGCAGGAATGTCCTTGGTTCCCATGAGAAAGTATTTTGTTTTGGCTACAACACCCCAGCTATCCCCATTCCTCCTTCCCTATCCCTCTTCTCCGGTGTGTCAGCACTGAAGTCTCAAAATGGCCTCAGTCGGGCCAGCTTCAGGGTTGACACTGAGTCAATCTTGAGCCTGGTGAGATTTGAACTACTGGCAGTCGGCAGAATTAGCTTGCAATTCTACCCACTATGCCACCACAGCGCTTGCTTTCTCCAATGAATTTGCCTTCGCCAGTGAATTTGCTTTCTCCAGTGAATTCCTCTGCATGACATGGACAAAATAAGATGCAGTTTGGTGACTTTGCCTTCCAGTGACATGTCTGGTGTTAGGCGATTCAATCAGTGGTGGGATTCAATTTATTTTACTACCGATTCTGTGGCCGTGCTGGGTGGGCGTGGCAGGGGAAGAATGTACAGAGGCAGTATTTGCCGGTTCTCTGAACTGCTCAAAATTTCTGCTACGAGTTCCCCAGAACTGGTCAGAACCTGCTAAATACCACCTCTGGATCCAACACTTGCTTGTTAATCACCTTTGCTATCCAAGGAATGCACAGGAGCCTTCTCCTGCACCATAGCCCAAATGAAACCTTTACCCTAGGTGGGGCATTAAACGTGGCCTCCCTGGTGAACCAGTGAAGTGGTCTTGATCTTCCTGGGTGATTTAATCTTCCTGGAATCTTGCTCAGACTGAAGAAGCTACTTGGAGAAGCAGTGAAACATTTCGAACCAGCAAAAAAAAATCCTGTTGCCTTGAGTCAACTTCCACACAACTCCACCTGGAGGGCTGATAATCTTCATCAACAAAATACACGTGAGTCTTTTTCTATACAGCTTGGATGTGGACATAGCCCTATCAATAGGCATCTATAGGTAACCCCCACCCCCATTACCTTTAATTCTTCTTGTTTTCGAAATAGTTCGTCCACTTCTTTGTGCTCCTTAGTGAGACGTTTATGCCTTGCAAACAGATCGTCTTTCATGGTTTTAATTTCCAGCCTTCTCTGCGTTGTTTCTTTACGCAGGTCTTCGCAACTGTCCCTCAGGGCTTTAATTTTCTTCTCTGCATCCTTTAAAAAATGAAATTGAGTGACTCAAATTAATGGAAAGGAACAGATAGGATAGGATAGGATAGGATAGGATAGGGAAGGGAAGGGAAGGAAAGGGTAGGGAAGGGTAAGATAGGGAAGCTACGGGTAGAGTAGGGAAGGTAGGGTAAGGAAGGGTAGGGTAAGATAGGGAAGGGAAGGGAAGGGAGAGGTAGGAAAGGATAGGGAAGGGAAGGGTAGGATAGGAAGGGAACGGTAGGGAAGGGAAGGGAAGGGAAGATGCTTGTCAAAGAGAGATCCGATTTAGAAGTCAGGAGAAATTTCCTGAAAGTGAGAACAATGAATCAGTGGACTACTATAGCTTGCCTCCTGGTGCTGTGGGTGCTCCCATCACCGGAGGTTTTCAAGAATAGACTGGGATGATAAGGCTTCTGTCTTGAGGAGCGGGTTGGACTAGAAGATCTCCAATTTCCCTTCCAGCCCTGTGATTCCAAGTGTTTAATCTATTGTATTCTAGAATAGAATAACTGAGTTGGAAGGGATCTTGGAGGTCTTCTAATTTAGCACCATCCCCAGACATCCCATTAGATGGCCACTAGATAGTTGTTCATTATTATTCCTTCTCCTTTCTCCTCCTCCTCCTGTTCCTCCTCTCTTCCTCCCCCTCCCCCTCTTCCTCCTCCCCCTCTTCCTCCTCCCCCTCCTCTTCCTCCCCCTCCTCTTCCTCCCCCTCCTTTTCCTCCTCCCCTTCCTCCTCCCCCTCCTCCTCTTCCTCCTCCCCTTCCTCCTCCTCCTCTCCATAAAGACCACATAGCATCTAACCTACTATCTTTTCCTCAACTCTTCTACCACCTCGCCTCTGTATCTCCACAGTGCAAAGAAGGAATAATATATCCAGTTTGCTAAAAGGAAAAAACAGACTAGACTAGTAGATCGGGGACAGTCAGTAAGGGTTGAATTAATGCAAAGTACAAACATCAGGAGAATAACTGATCAGGGCCCCTGATGGCTCTAGTCCAGATCAAGCACCATCCGCAAACCCACTGCCAAAAAAAACCAAAAAAAAAAAACCTAATGCAGGATGGATTTTTTAAAACTTGGTTTTAGGCACAGCCAGCCAGGAACAGCTGATAGTTTAGGCTGCTGTGCCAGAATTACCCTTGTTTCATAGATTTCTAGGAGAATTCTGGGCACATCTAATTTACAACTGCGCAAAAAAGGGATTTATCCTCAGAGAATGAACTTGTCGGATCCCATGATTTGCAGCAAAATCTGCAGATTGTATTTTCAGCACATTGAATTAGGTGTCTATGGCTATGTGAGAAACTTACTTACAGAAGCTTTGGGGACTCTGCGATAGTCCTTTTCAATTAATTTCTTGTCTTCTTGTAAACTAGATAGAATAAATAATATTAAAAGGCAGCTTGTAAGATAAGATTACCTTTATTACCACTTTTTTTCTGTGAACACACTGGCAAACATTAAAAAATGAAATTCTGATGTCCACTCTCAAAAGATACATACATGCATACATACATACACACATATATAGATATACGCATACAGATACACATACACACATATGAGAGAGAGAGAGGGAGGGAGAGAGAAAGACAGAGGGAGGGAGGGAGGGAGGGAGAGAGAGAAGGAACCGGTCTTTGGATTTGGAAGATAACACCAAGGACATTCTCATGCTCAGTTTGTGTCCTTCTTTTGAAGTTCACTGTCGGACTTTCCAATGTGTTTTGACCTATTTTTGGTTACTAATTAACTGATAATAAAAGTGCTGGGTTTGACATTAAGAAATCTCATTTTATCTGAAAGTGTCCTTCTCCACTATTTCCTGCTCAGATAAAGGTAAAGGTTCTTCCCCTCGCATATATGTGCTACTTGTTTCTGGCTCTAGAGGCGATGCTCATCTTCATTACAAAGCCGAAGAGCCAGCGCTGTCCAAAGATGTCTCTGTGGTCATGACTACAGCTGCCATGACTAAATGCCTTCGAAGACACACAGAATGCTGTTACCTTCCCACCAAAATGCTCCCTATTTTTCTACTTGCGTTTTTTACCTGCTTTCGAACTGCTAGGTTGGCAGAAGCTGGGACAAGTAATGGGCGTTATGCGGCGCTAGGGATTTGAACCGCCGAACTGCCGACCTTTCTGATCGACAAGCTCAGCGCCTTAGCCACAGAGCCACCTGCCCAGATAGGAACTCTAAAATCTGTAGACTTTTGTACCAGATGAGTTAAATGTTGACGGCCTTTAGGAGACGGCACTCAGGAGTAACCAGCTGTCGCGTTTTCCTTAGCTGTGTCGGTATAGGCATTATTTCAATTCCTTCTGCTTTTCTAGAGGCAGTCCTCGACTTACAACCATTTGGCCAGTGACCTTGCGAAGTTACAACGGCCCCGAAAAAAGTGACTCGGGACTGTTTTCCCCCAGTTACGACCCTTGCTGCATCACCATGGTCATGGGATCGAAATTCAGACACTCGGCAATTGCCTCCTATTTACGACAGTTGCAGAGGTCACGTGATCCCCTTTTGCGACCTTCTGATGAGCAAAGTCAATGGTGGAGCCAGATTCACTTAACAACCTGGTTACTAACGTAACAACTGCAATGATTCACTTAACAACTGTAGCAGAGGTGGTCTTCAGCCAGTTCTGACCGGTTCTAGAGAAGTGGTAGCCAAAATTTTGAGTTGTTCGGAGAACTGGCAAATCCCACCTCTGACTGGCCCTGCCAACCCCATCTCTTCTCTGCCTCCCATTGTGTCCAACTGATCATCAATATATAGCTGCGCTAAAATAAGGATATTCAGTGAGCCACTGATAATAGCCAACTGTGCCAGGCTACTTAACGATCTAACTCTCAGGACTGGGGATATCATGGAAGCCATTTTATAACACTTTGGCTCAGGAAAAAAAAAAGTGGCTTTTTCCATTTCTTTAGAGTTTATAGAGCCATTTGCACCAGAGGGAATCAGTGCAGCCACCGAATTGTTGTAAGGGAAGCTGAGACGGAGGCAGAGGCTGGTATTCATCTGGTTCTGACCAGTTCTGGAGAACTGGTAATGGAAATTTTGAGTCGTTCAGAGAACCGGCAAATCCCACCTCTGACTGGCCCCGCCCCCATCTATTCTCTGCCTCCCATTGAGTCCCAGCTGATCAGCTGGGTCTTCTTTGGTTACCCTGCATAGGAGAACAGAGCTGGAAAGCAGGTTAGTGGGGTGGGGAGGGAATGGGGATTTCGCAGTAATCTTTTCCCAGGAATGGGGAGGGAATAGAGATTTTGCAGTATCCTTCCCCTGCCACGCCCACCAAGCCACATCCACAGAACCGGTAGTAAAAAAATTTGAATTCCACTGTAGCTGGAACAGTCATAACATGGAGCAAAGCTCACTTAACAATGGTCTCTCTTAACAACAAAAAAGTTGGGCTCAGCTGTGGGGGTAAGTCGAGGAGCAGCGTATTCTACCTTCTTCCTTCTATCTACGTGGCAGTTTGAAACGATGCCCTGTGGAGTCTTGTTAAAAAGGCAGTTGGCCAATTGTTATACCCACCTATTCAGCCTATACTGAATTTCAAACTCTCTCTCTTGAATGGCGTTGTACTCGTTGAAGTATCTCAGGTACTGCTGCCTCAGTTTGGAGACCTCGGAAGTGGTGCTTTCTGGAAACTGTTCGGCTTTTTCCAGTATCTCCTGCTGCTCTTCCAGCTTAGCCGTGAAACGTTTGGCATCCTGAAGCAGCTGAATCTCCGATTCCTGTAAACTATAATAAAATCAGTGATGCCTGTTGTTTTTTAATCCAACAGAGATGCTCAATGGAAGAATTCATCGTGACTGATAACTATGACTTCATAGGTATATACAACAACATGTATGGGAAATAGAAGCCACGACCTTTGATACTGAGTAAAGAAAAGGAGGATTTCTTTGTTTATGCTGTGTTTACAAGGTCCCGGCCTGCTGGGATGTATTAGCTGCGGGTGGGTGGGATGGTTGATATTCCTACCTTGTGCTCTCAGAGATGGAATGGGATGGAATGGAATGGAATAGAATAGAATAGAATAGAATAGAATAGAATAGAATAGAATAGAATAGAATAGAATAGAAAATATGAAATGGAATGGAATGGAACGGAACGGAACAGAACAGAAGAGAAAATATGGAATAGAATGGAATAGAACAGAACAGAAACAGAACAGAACAGAATAGAAAATATGAAATGGAATGGAATAGAACAGAACCAGAACAGAATAGAATATATGGAATATATATTGGAATGGAACAGAATAGAATTGAACAGAACAGAACAGAAAATATGGAATGGAACGCAATGGGATAGAAAATATGAAATGGAATAGAATGGAATGGAACAGAATAGAACAGAAACAGAATGGAACAGAACAGAATAGAATAGAAAATATGGAATGGAATAGAACAGAACAGAACAGAACAGAATAGAAAATATGAAATGGAATGCAATTAGAAAAGAACACAACTGAATAGAAAGTATGGAATGGAATGGAATGGAACAAAACAGAACAGAATATAGAATATAATTATAGAATATAACTTTGAATGGTCGCTAAATGAACTGTTGCAAGTCGAGGACTACCAGTAATGACTGAGTGAGGAATAACAAATCCGAATTGAAGCACAGGGAAGCTTACAATTCACAGAGAAGGTTACAATTCTAGAGAGATCACCTTGTTTTCAAAAGGGTGTTCCTGGATCTGCATCATTCTCTCATTTTCCAGATTGAGGACAGGTGCAGGGACATTTATCAGCTTAACTGACATCTCTGGCTAATAAACAGGCCCTTAAAAGCATGTGCTGATTCCATCCAACTTGACTACTATATAGACTATGCAGGTCTGTCTTTATATGTGGTCTAGAAAGTTAAATTGACATGAAACTCAGCTGCCATATTGGTGTTTAGAAGAATTTAATGCTTCCATTACATTTATGCTGAAAGCATTACACACTGGTTATCCATTGATTTCTGAGTGAAATACAAACCGATTATAACTTTTAAAGCCACATATAGTTTGGGATGAGGTTTTTTTAAAAGAAACTTTTTCTCTAGCGTTTGCATTCTTCTACTCACTGAGATCCTTTGACAATTTACAGTGTCCTCAGGTTTTTCTTGCAGTAATTAACATTCCAATATTTTTTCTTTAGTTATTCGAAATCTCTAAAATTCTTTGCTAATTCACCTCTTCTTGGTTTACTAAAACGCCTTTAAAACTACACATTTTCAAGCAGGCTTTTCCACTTTTGATTCTAATTTTGATTGTCAATTTTGGCTGTTTTTAAATGATGGGGAGCTGCCAGCATAGCAAGTTGAATAAATAAAAGTTATTGGTGTCCAAAATGTATTTGACCCCCTACACAAAAGCAGGAGAATATGCTCTTTTTCTCATATTTTCTCTCTTTTTCTCTCTAATACATTAGCATGCTTTTCCCTAATGCCAAGAATACAATAAAAAAACAGGTTTCAATGGGGGAAAAAAAAGCTTTTTCCTCTGAATCATCATTTTTAAGCAGAGAAATACTAAATTTTGCAATGTTAAAAAAATACATTAAAAACTCTTTCTTAAGTCAGACAAATCAAAGTTTCCCTTTATAAAACATTTGGATTTCCTATCCTGTACCTCTGAACATCATTCTTTCATTGGGTAAAGATGACTTATTCTCAATATATTTTAAAGCTCTTTTTAGTTTATGATGTATGTAACACAGATATAAATTACTGACTTTGTACCTTGCATTAAATTTATACTGGAATAAAGGTTGTTCTATACTACAGTAAACTATAAATTGATTAGTTAAGGATTTTTTCTTACAAAGCTACAGTTATCTGGTTCACCTTACATTATAAACCCTAGGTGACAATTTACAAAACACAGTAACTAAGTTACACAATACTGTATAAGTCAATAAATTTCAATAAGGCTGAAACAGCTTTTAAGTAACTATGGTACTGAAACATTATACACACACACACACACACACACACACACACACACACATGCACAGAGACAGAAAGAAAGAGAGGGGGCGTGGAATACTAGAAGCTTACCTTACTAGAGTATCATGTATCAGGACATATTTTGCCTTCAGCTCAGCCAATCTGGTTCCAGGGATTTTTCCAGCATAAAACAGCTATGAAATTGCAAGAGATAAAGAGACTCTAGTGAAATTGTTATTCACCATATAGGAAATTTACTAACCTTAAGACAACACTAAATAAATTATAGTTGAGGTATATTTGGCAATGAACAATTAATCAATGCATAGTTGTACGCTTGTTTCACAACTTTTGGAATATCACGGAATTATCTTTTTTTT